CAAGAAAAACACCTATTATGTACCAATGGGAGCACTAAGAAGAGGGTGATGATCCCTGCCCTCATGAAATGTATCATCTACTAAGTAGCAGAATATGTATACAAATATAAACCTCACATCAGAAAATTATCCACCAAAGCTCGTGGACTTCAAATACTTTGGTTGTTTATGCCTGCTGGTGTTTGGAAAGACATCTACACATAAACGGACTGATGTCCTTTCTTCTCTGCAGGCAGGCTCAGCGATAATCAAGGCCCTGCAGACCCAGGGGGGCCCTAACTGCTCTCCCCTGCTAACGCACAGTGTGAGGCCAAATGACTATCAAAACAGGCTCTCATCTTAGAGCACAATGCTGAAATCAATGTCCAACACACATTTCAGAAATAAAATGCCAGATTTCATTGCTTGTATTCTGCAGGAGAAGCCCTTCCGTTTGTTTTTCCCCCGTCAACAAGGTGGGACCCCCCAACATAAACAAGACCCGCATCAAAATGCAGCTGCAGTTCACACTGACAGAAAGCACACACAAGCAACATCAACCTAGACACCCTATTTTAAAAAGATGGTTAAAAGCAATTACCTTAAAGAACTATTTAAACAGGCAATTTCCAAAGTATTTATAATTTATTCTCACTACAATCCTGGCAGATAGGCATTGACTTCATTTGATGAGGAAACGGAAATTTCAGAGGTAAAATAATTTATTCAAGATACAGTTATTGCCAAAGGATCAATCTTGTGATCTTATACCATTCAATCAATCGGCTGTCCATTCCTGTATCCTTCATAACGTCTCTCTAATCAAGCCCTTCTCTCCAGAACCACTGCAGCCCCTAGCCCAGAACCGCACTATCAACTCCATGACTAAGACGCTCTCCTAACCAGCCTCCCGGTTTTCCTACTTGTCTTGTATACACGAGAGATTAATATTCTGGGAGCCCAATCCTGCTCACTTCTACTTCCTTGCTCGGACACCTTCAGTGAAGCCATTTCTCAGCCAGGTGTTCAAACACTCTTCCCAGAGTGTATTCCAGCAACCCTCCTCCCCATCAGTCCCCATCAGCACTGACACCCAAAGCTTCAGACCAGTGAAAACCCAGGCTTTTGGTCAGACGTCTGAATAACGTCTTTCCGGTCGCTGAAGCTTTGCTTTGAGAAATGCCTTTCCTATTCGTCTCTCCCCCGTCCGTACATGTTCGCATTCTGATCACTTAGTTCAAGGCCCAGATCAGCGCCATGCCCACCGAGAAGCCCCTGCTTCTTTCTCCTCAGCCATCCTCTGAATCTCCGTTCATTTTTTTCCCTCAAAAAACATGTACTGAGTAACTATTAAGTGTCAGGCACTGTTATAAGTCAGGAAATGCAAAAGTGAACAAAAAAAGAACTTTTTTCTCTAAAAGCTTACTGTTTAGTTAGGGAGACAAAAGTACAAAATAATAACACCTTCTAAGTTCCACAAAAAGTGGTCAACTCAGGACTCTCCTCGAGCCTGAACGGAGGATGCGCGGATCTGGCTCCGCATCGGCCAGGCCGCCAGCGGAGCTGCCCCTCGGGCCGAGTGGGAGCAGCGGCTCGGGGCCGCGCGGAGGCCCAGGTGGAGCTGCACTGCCTTCTGTCGGGGAGCGGGGGCTTCGGAGTCAGAGCTTCGGGGACGAAAGGAAGGACTTGAATTCCTCAACTGTGAAAACCCTAACATACCACCCAGGGCTATTTTATGAACCACAGTAAAATACTGTTTTAAACTGAATTAAAAAGTGTTACACAAATTTAAGGTATCATTTGTTTATAAACAACAATGCTTCCTAACTGGCTATGAGACACACAATTAGATAGGAAAAGTTTAACAGAGTAACTTACATGTTGTCAAATCTAGATTTTATGATACAATGCTCCACCTCTCTGTATGCACACGTGTCCCAAGGATACACACTTACACAACTTCCAAAGGCAAACCCACACTCACATTTAAAATGAACACTTAAACACGTAACAAGTATCTTCAACAGAGCTCCCTAATAACTTACCATTTTATTGTTAGCAACTTCCTAAAATTATACAACCTGTGCTAGCTCCGTTTGTAGAAGCAACTTGGAAGGGGATTTTCCACTTTCTCCTTAGCACCAATGAATTCGCAAGCTGTACACACATAGATTCCTAATATTATTTCAGTATTTCTCTAAGAACTCAAACCGCTCAGTGTAATGCCAAACTGTATGGTAAACAGCTGTCTTAACTGTACAGATTTATATTAAGGAAAGAGCGCATCCTAATACTGTCGTTGCGAAACATGCGATTTGGGAGCCGGAACCGGGAAACAGCAATGAGAGAAAGCGACGGGCAACGGTGAGGAGGTGCAGCGATGAACCGCAACCACCACCAACAATAATTTGGAGAAGGGGCTTCTGGCTGCGATGATGTGGGCAGGTCACCGAACCCTCTCCTCAAAACAAGACAACAAAAAGGAAACCGGACAAAATTGTCCAACAGTCATTTCAGGGTCCTAGAAATCAATGAAAGGCAAATAACGAACACAAAAAATTCCTGAAAAATTGCTGGAGCTGGGGTAAGACCAAGAGGACGCTACAAACGTACTGCCTGGGGCTATTCGAACCCACCAACCCCACCCCCAGCCCCTCGGCTGTGCTGGGGGAACCTGGTCTCATCAGCACAAGGCTGGGGCCACGAAAACCAGCCGACTCAACCTGGGGCGTCTGGAGGAGTCAGACAGCAGAGAATCCACAGCTTCGTCGGCTAGAAGTGGCAAACTTAATAAAACCTAACGGGAAATGCAGCTTTTCCTAGCTCGAGGCTGTGGTGTAATTGGGGTGAGCGGAGGGCCAGCCAGAAATCTAAAGGGGAGACCCCGGAAACGAGATAGTCAGAGAAGAGCTAGATCCGCCCTCCTCACTTTCCTCACTGACTACGAATCTGCACGGATGAAGGGGAGACATGTGAGGGCTCAGGAGAAAGAAAAACCCAAGGGCAACTGAGAGCGGGCTGAACTCGTAATGTGCTTCCCAACCCACAAACAGGCGGCGAAGCTTCCCAAAGTCGAGACGCCTCAGCACGACTTCTGCCCAAATGAGGGGTGAACCACTCAGCTATGGAGACACTGAGGTGGCTTCTAGCCAGGCGTCCGAGTAAGAACGAGTGCAAATCACTGAGCAAAAGCATCAGTGGTCGCACTCTGTGGGGAGCTTAAGTTCAGGCAAATTACTAAAGCCCACTCCGCAGGTTAAATCCAAGAAAATTACTCAAAACACACACACAAATCTTATCGTATGGCTTAAAGGCTGGACACAGTTCTGATAATCTGCTAGAGGAAAGGCAAAAAGAACCGAAAAACTAGGTAGATCTTTCTCTGTGGACTAAGAACATTCCTACCTTTGGAAATATACCACACGATCACAGACAACATGATTTCCTATAGGATAACACATATGTGATTCACATCTATGGCGAATGTAAGACATTTCCTTTACTTTAGCACGTTAGTGGTCAGCAGTGAAGTCAGACAGGTTTGAGTTTGGGAACAGTAAAGTACTGGGTTGGGTTTTATTCTGAGCATGTTGAGAAATTATTATTACAGTGAAGCAGGAAAATGGCATTATTTGCACTGAAAACCCCACTCGTGGCTGCTGTGTGGAGAATGGCAGCAGCAACACAGGAAATAAATGATGAGGTCAGACCTGGAGGATTGATGATGACGATAAACACCTTACGTGAATCAAACTCCTCTGAGTCTCCTAACAGCTACCTTAGGTTGGTACTATGGTCCTCATTCTAAAGTGAGCAAGCCAAGGCAGATGGAGAGTAAGTAACTGGCCCGGGGTCATACTGCTAAGTAGGGGCCACGTCAGGACCCAAACCCAAGAAATCCGGCAGAAGAGCTGAGCTCTGAGTCATGTACACTATTCAGCTGTACTCTTAAGAAGAGGTCGAAGTAAGAAAAGACTTTAAAGTTATGGTTGCCAAAGCCCTGGCCAGGTAGCTCAGTTGGTTAGTGCCGTCCCAATACACCAAGGTTGCAGGTTTGATTCCCTGTCAGGGCACTTATAAAAACCAACCAATGGGCCTGGCTGGTGTAGCTCAGTGGATTGAGCGCGGGCTTGCAAACCACACAATGGCGGTTTGATTCCCAGTCAGGGCACATGCCTGGGTTGCAGGCCAGTTCCTAGCAGGGGACTCATGAGAGGCAACCGTACATTGATATTTCTCTCCTTCCCTTCCTCTCTAAAGATAAATAAACAAAATCTTTAAAAAAACAAAAAAAAAACAAAAAAAAACCCCCAACCAATGAATACATAAATAAGCAGAACAACAAAACCGATGTTTCTCTCTCTTCCCCCCCCGCTTCCTTTCTCTACAAAAATCAATAAATATAATTTTTCAAAAAGTTATGATTGCTAAGACTTGCTAATGGAAGAAATGTAGAGATGAAGGCAATAAAGAACGACCCACAGGATTTGCTTGAGCAACTAGGTATAGTTAGTAGTATAATTATATATAGAGAGGATGTAAAATAAGTAAAGGGGATCCTAGAACCCAGGCCTAAAGGGATGCAACATTTGAAAGTTGAACAGAAAGAGGAACCGGCAAGAGACTAACAAAGGACCGGGTGCCGCAGAGGAAAGCCGGGGGGGTGTCACAAAAGCCCGAGACGAGCATTTGAGGAGGAGGAAGCAGGCTGTGCGCGATGCTGCGGGCGGTGCCTGAGAACAGAGAAGGGCCGCATCCCCTGGGTTTGGTCTCCCCAGTGCACTTACCTTTGGAACTGCCTGCTCCTCCTCCAGACTGTAAGGTCCTGGGCAGGGACTGTGAATCTGAATGCTAAATCCTTATCTTCTAATTACAATGTCTGAAGTAGAATTGAAGTGACAAAAGTGCTGTGCAGTGTAATGTAAATGCTAAGTTAATTCAAAGGGTTTCTGGTATGGCAACTAAGGTGCCGACTTCCAAGATGACCCCCCCCTCCGCCGTGCACCTCCCCACCCACGTACCGTGAGAGATCCGTTCTGTGTGCTGGGCGAGTTGCTGCTCTGTTCCCCGTGGGCCTGCGTACTCCCGTAGAGGGTCAGGTTATGCTCACTGGTCTGGCCGGCGTAGTCCTGAGTGTGTGGCACGCCATACTCTGCGGGAATTCCGTTCTGTGGAGGTGGTGGGAACGGGATGGTAGTGAAAGGCTGGACCATGGCGTCAGGAGTTGTTGTTGGCTCCTGGTTACCCTGCAAGAAACAGAGAAAATAAGGGGAAAGGGTGACTTTAAATTCTCGGTACGTGATTATTTTTCAAGGTGAGTGTATAAAGTTCTCTGCACACTCCCTCACTGCTCAGGTAAAATGTAAGGCTTACTCCCCAGGACTGGGGAGAACACGGCCCCACACACTCACTCGCACGCCTGCAGATGTGGCACACGCACAAACGCAGGCCTAACTTCGGGTGATCCGTGCTTACCAGACAGCTCTATGACCATAGTGAAGATGACCAGCTGCCAAAGGGTCAAAATTTTCCTTCAAGTTTAAAAACGCCAGCAAAGTTCTCACAAAGTTACACGAGGTGAAATTGATGCCACTAGTGTTTTCTTTAGGGCTTTCTCTATCCCTTTAGTGACTCTTAAGGGAAACAAATCAAATTCACTGAATTACCACTCACAGAAACAAGCAGAATGACATTATTAAATTAAAGTCTCAAAACCAGACAACAGAGACCTCCCAATTTTGAGAGCATGGACTTCAGGAGAAAGTAAATTATTAAAAATTTTTGAATCTGAAGGTACAGATTTAAGTCTTGGTTACTAGATTAATGTTAATACTAATACTAAAACCTTTCCTTAAATTAGAAATTAAAAAAAAAAAACAGACAAAGAGATGGAAGAACCTTCCGTAACCACTGCTGGCACTGCCAGGGTGACGACACAGCAGGACTCCGCCCCCCACGGAGCCCGTCTACGGGCACCTGCTTAGGATCCAGCAGGATATTTGTAATGTCGATAAAGCATAAGCAGTAACTACCAAAAATTGTTAGATGCCATTTTGGTTCCATAGTCCTTCTCTTACTTCTAATTTTTAAGTTCACATACAAAAGACAAGTTTAACACTTGTGTAACAGATTTGGCAAAGGCTTCTCAACAGCTCACCTCCTGACCTCCCATTTTATCCCATAAAAAGCAAAGCCACTGTTCTACTGAAGATACACAAGTCTGCCTGCCGTCTGGAGCCACTGTCCTTCCTGGAGGCTTTGGCAGCGGTGGCTTCAAGACGTCAGCACTCCGATAAACGCCCCGCCCCATTCTTTATACATTACATCACTGGGCTTATGTCACTTGGTCTTCTCCTACTTATCAGCATCACTTCCTTTGAACAAGAAATCACTCCTTTCTCTCTCAGTACCAATTAGCCTCCTTTCCCCTCAATTCCAGGAGGAATTCTCCATCCACTGGGAGCTGCGGGAGAGGAAACTCTCAGCAGCATTTGCTGAGCCTCATGCCAGGCTTCCAATGTTAACTTGACAGCTATTAAAACCCATACCACCCAAAACAAAATGCATCCAAAGCTACCAAGAGATCTCACACTATTTTTAAAGAAGAGTCCACCATCATTACTACAATCAGTTATTCTCCATAAAATAAAACAGAAAAAACCTACAAAGGCTGTTATTATAAGTGGAGAAACATGTGACTGTGGATTGGAAAGCTTGATATTCTTAAGATGATTACGTACCTAAACTCCACAAACCCAGTCAAACACTCAGCATGTACTTTTGCAGAAACTGACAAGCCATTATTAAACTTTACATAAAAATACAAAGGGCCTAGGATAGCAGAAACAATTTTGGGCATCAGAACAATGCTCTAACCAACTCAACTACCCGGCCAGGGAGACAAAACAATTTTGAAGAATAAAGAATATCGGAGGACTTACATCACCTGATTTCAAGACCTATCATAAAGCCACGGCAATCAAAACAGTGTGGTGCTAGCTTAAAGACAGACAGACAGACAGATGACCGAGACAGAAAATAAACCAGAGATGGACACATGCACACACAGTCAATATTAAGGCATCGGATCAGTTCAATGGGGGAAACAAAAGTTTTTTTTTTTAAAAACTGAGAAACTGAATACTCACTGGCAATTAAATAAGCCTCAACTCTTACCCCATCTATGCAAAAGTAATGTAAGAGCTGAAACTATAAAACTTTCAGAAAAAAGGAAAACTGTCACAACTTCATAATAAACAAGAATCCTTGGGATATAAACAGTGAGAACTATTAAAGAAGTTAATAAACTGGACTTCATAAAAATCAAACCGCTTCTCCTCCCTGAAAGATACCATCATGACAACAGACAAGGCAGAGCCTGGGAGACAGTATTCACAACACATACATCTGACAATGGACACGCACCCAGAATCTACAAAGAACTGTTACAAATCATAGTAAAGACACAACATTTTTCTAAAGATTTATTTTTCTTTAGAAAGAGGGGAAGATAGGGAGAAAGAAGGACAGAAACATTAATGTGCAGGAGATTTATCGATCGGTTGCCCTTCCCACACCCCCATCTGGGGACCTGGCCCGCAACCCAGGCATGTGCCCTGACTGGGAATCGAACTGGTGACCTTTCAGTTTTCATGCCAGCACTCAATCCACTGAGCCACATCAGTCAGGGCAAAATATTTCTTTAAAAGTGGGCTAACAACTTTTTTAAAATGTGCAATAACTCCAATTTGTAGTCATTAAATCAACAAAAAAATTAAGTTTCATTGAGGTATAATTTGCATATAACAAACTGCATCTATTCATAGTGTACCATTTGGTCACACTGACAAACATGTACACACATGAAATCATCACCACAATCAGAACAGCAAACACATCTACCCCAAACCCCCAAGTTCCCTTGTGCTCCTAATAATATGAATATATTACTTTTGAAATAAAGCCTACGGTGCATTTCTACGATACACAAGAGAATGAAAAAATAATCAACAGAGGAAGTCAGTGTGCTGAAGCACTGAACTGCTGTGCCAATCTTAAAAAGGTGGCCGCAACGTGGCTGACAGATAGTCAAACCCCCTTTCATTTCAAAGTTACACAGCGTCAAATGTCAGCTGTCTCCCATGTCCAAGGGTCATTTCTACGTGGGACTAAGGTCTGCTCTACATAAAAGTCTTCCCTTTGTTTAGTTCTTAGACATTATGCTATGAAAACCTTAAATTTTTACCCATAATTTTTCAGGGAATGTCTATCTTTCTCACTCATCCCTGTATCTGTTCTTTTCGTCATCATAAGGTTGGGGTCAGGGGCGTCCAATCTTTGGGCATCTCTGGGCCACACTGGAAGAAGAGTTGTCTTGGGCCACACATGAAAATACCTTGTGATATGTGATCACAAAAAACCCTCACAAAGTTGTAAGTAAATTTACGACTCTGTGTCGGGCCGCATTCACAGCCATCCTGGCTGCAGACTGGACACCCTTGTATGCAGATGAGTTCTCCGTAGCTGTTCTGGGCACCCTAAGAGGAAAAACAAAATTATCCTCTCCCTCTCCTTCAAATTGTTCAGTGCTATGTCTCAAATGATCTCCCCACCCACCTGCCTGCCCCCTCAGGAAGCAGGGTGCTTCAGAAGCCCTCACAGGATTGGCTGGCCTGAGAACAGATATGCAAGAAAACTTTCAAATTCACGTGGACGGACTAGTGAATGAAAGAAAGTAAGAGTACCAAAGGTCTCCACAGTTCTACACTTCAACTCCAGGCAGAAACATCATCTCACAGGACACAAGGGAGTGTCCACTGAACAACCGGCAAAGGCCAGAAGACACCCTTTCCCAGTTATGAATGACCTGGGACTTGAATGCTCCGCCCGGGCTCCTTTCACTGCCGCCCAGGCCTGCTGGGAGGGCCGCTCTGGCACACCAGTGCACAGTATCTGGGCTCCCACGGGGGCAGTCCCACGGAGCTGGCTCCACCAACAAAATAAACACAGCAATTAGCAGTGGGAGATGAGGGAAGAAAGGCAAAAACATTCTGTAGGATCCACTCACAGCCTCAGCACTCTGTTTCAAAGAGATGCAAGACAGAAAAGAAGGGAGGTCAAACAGCAATGCTGGGAGGTTCTTTTGTTACTTACAGGAACGCTTTTTAACTTTTGTTGAACAAAAACAACCACTATACTTACACACGGAGGGAATGAAATTGGGGAAGGAGTGACTTCGTATCTTATCTCATACACTCTGCAATGTCTGGAAACTTCCCCAAGTATTATTATTATTATTCTAAAAACATTAAGTGGTTGCTGATTTCTACTAAATTCCAGGTCATATTTCAGAGTTGTAAGTTCAGAAGAGAAGTACTAGAATATCCAGCAAACTATAAGACAGCAGTTCACATGATTATTTCTAGGCAAAAATTTACCTCTGGATTTGTATGAAAATGTTTTTAATACTAAAGGATAATAATAAGCAGCTTAAGTGTCTCTTATCTGAGAAAATGAATTATTGACTAAATACCTCCTATGGGTCTACAGCCGTGGCAGGCACTGAAGACATCATAACGAAAGTCAGAAATATGGTTCTCAGGGAGCTAACAGTCACATCAGGGAGATTTTCCAAATACGCAAAAACTTCAATACAGTTCAGAGCAGTAGGTATGAGTACTGACTTGGGGACACAAGGGCCACTGTTCCCTAACCCCATTCTGAACCCCTCTAGACCCTCCCTCACCTGGATTAGCAGCTTACTTGTAATGAGAGCTTACTAGTATCCAGCAATACACTAAGCACTTTATATATCCCTTAACTCACTAAATCCTCACAACCCTATAAAGTAGCTATTCCCATTATTTTCCTTTTACAGATAAGGAAACTGACATTTTAAAAGGTTAAGTATCTTATAAAAAACCACTCAGCCACTAACTAGCATGAGCAGACTCAAATCCAAATCTAAGCCAGTTCTGAAGCCAGTGGCCCCTGTGGCATCTCCAGTGGGGTCTTGAACCAGTCTCCCCCCCGTCCCACCATACATAACGGCTAATTAACTGTGTTGCGATGAGCCCAGGCCATTCGACACCCCCAAAGACGGTGCTCTCCCATCACAGCCGGACTGCCCCAGCAGGGATCGTCTGGCAGGCACGCACCCTCTATGAAGCATATCGCGCGTAGCAGAGAAAAACTTAGCTGGCCACCGAGGACCACCTCAGACAGCCCCTTCTCCCCGAGGCTGGTC